GAAGAAAACAATAGAAGAACCTCAACTTGCTACACGAAATTCTGACCAGTAGAAGAAAGAGTTGAGCTACCATACACACATGAAACTTTTAGCTATTGAGGAAGAAAGAAACTTGAAGACCACTCACAAATCGAGCCAGGGATGAAATAATATAAACTTGAAATTTTTATAAAAAAATGTTGAAACTTTGTTATAATGATTAATATCAAAATGCTAAAATTTCAATATAGATCTGAAATTATTTTGGAAATGGAATGAACTTACATTTTGAGGCTTACGTGGACGTGTAATATGGGTTACATCCCGTGCCGGTCGCCCTCTATTTTTGGAGCGTGACATTGATGCTTTGTTTTATCCCAAATATTAGGAATCCCCAGGTATTTCTCAGGTTCTTCAATGTCCTCAATATCAAGAATATTGCATACCATGCCTTTGTACTTCTATTAGTATTTCTAGAAAAAAAAAATCCCAAATTTACTTAAGTTTGTCGTCTACCCTAAAGCCCTACAATAATCATCAATAATCTCTCTAAGTTTCTTGCAATTATCTTCACTTACATCCATAAAACAATATTTTTTTTTTGTGGAGATTGGATCACTTAATAGAATGCAGGAATTGTTTGCATAAATTAAAAATTTTAGTGTTATCATTGGTTAAATGTCATGAAATAATATGTGCATGCCTAAAAATTTAAAAGAGATTTGCACAATATATATATATATATATATACACTTATCTCAAAATAGAGTTGTGTGTCAATTGTGAGTTTGACCAATTATACAAGAGGTATGACATATGGATAAAAATTATGATGATACATAAAAGAATACTAAAAGTAATGATGTGATACTGATAGGCATATATCAACCTGGTTTATCATTGATGTGCTATCAAGTATTCCATACCAAGCACTTAGGATTTGGTTGGTAAAGAAACACAACACTGCTTTCTTTTTGTTGGGCTTTCTTCAACTTTTGGGGCTTCAAAGACTCAATCAATATTTTATTAGGTATGAAATATCTATGTGCATATATTTTGTTCATTAGGTTGTGCATTTACAATTTTCATGACTATAATTTTATTGACCGGTTGGAAAAACATAGCAACCTCTTCTATTTTTAGGTCAGATGTACTAAGCTTTTATGGGTATGTTATTTTTTATTTGTTTTAAATATAATATCTCTTTGATATTTCTTAGTTTTATTCACATCGTTAAAATATTCTATAAATTTTTAGTTAAGTTATCTTAGAATATTATGTTAATACATGTAATGTATCAATGCATTTTGAACATTCATGTAAAGATCCAAAATTTTAAGTAAAAATGAGTGAATTAATTAATTAACATTTATGATAATTTTACATGTATTTTTTATTAATTTTGTGTTAAATATAACATGGAAGATATGATGGGCAGAAGCTTCATTAGTATTTAGTCTTTAGTGCTAGGTTCAAATCCTCAAGGTGGGGGGTTTATTTTTATGTCAGCCCAAGTCGTGCGCCATCTTCTGTGTCTTGGTTTATAGCGTTCACTGTTACTAACCCATGGTTAATTCGTTCGTCCGTTCTTCATCCATGTCGCTGTTCGTTCTTTTCTCCTTGCTCTTCTGTGTTTGTGCGACAGCTTCTCTTCTTCTTACTTCAAGTTGCTGCTGCGTTTGTAGGCGCGGCTATGGCTGCAGGGGTGTCAAACTTCTTCCTTCCATGCTTCATGTCACCATTGTCTCCTGCCCCTGTTCGGCCATTAGGTTCCACTCTTTCTTCATTGAGCTACATCAGCGAACAAGTGGGTTGCCATTCTGGTGTAACTGAGTGTGTGCCGAATTTCTTTCTCCTCATTGCACCGTCGGCCTTCTCTCTCTCTTTGTTGTTTTTCTCCTCCAGTATCACGTGATAGCGTGTTCATCTCCACCTTGTTTTTGACATCATCGATCTGGTGTGCTGGAGCTTCAAGCTCTTCTCATCAATTCCTTAACTGAGTTGGACAGAGCATTGATCTTTAGTACTAGTTTGGAAGTAAGTTATGCACTTGAAAACTTTACAGGTAAGTGGATAGCATCCCAACTAAATTATCAATTATTTTTCTTGCTGAAATTTTCTATTTTTATATAGATTATTTTAATAATAAGTATGTTAATTAGTGAATATTTGGTTATTTAAATTTCTTCACTTTTAAGTTATAAGATAGTGGTGAAGAATATTTACATCATGGCACATGAATGTTTTACCCCTTCATACTTTCAAGATTGATAAAAATCATTTTCACTAGCATTGGTAATTTTTTATTATTCAATAAATGCAAGCATGAATATTAGATATGAAATTTTATTTAGCAAGGTTTGATGCCTGAAAACTATTCATGCGAGTTTGATTTTAAGAATAGAAATTATATTTTAATAGTGGTAATTTTCTCACATGTTTGGAAATGAATTTGGAGGGGATTTTATACAGAACACTGGTCGCTAACGATAGTCCCATTAGCCCTTGACGCGCCATAGTACACCTAGCTAGCAGGTTGTTTATACGAGATGCTAGCCCTGTGCGATGGCCAACACACGTGAAACGAAGGGATAATTATTCATGAGCATCATACTCACGTTCATTTCCTGGCTTCGGTTATGTTTGGTTATTTATCCTTGTGGACTATATGTCCACGTTTGTTTCATGGCTTCAACTACGTTTGATTACTTTCCCTCATGAACTGTGTGTCCATGTTTGTTTTCATGGCATAAGCCGCATTTGGATATTTATCCTCGTGGATTGTGTGTCCAGTTTGTGAATTATTTTGATAAATCTCCAAAAATAGGGGTGTTCACGGGACGGGACGGGACCGGGACACCCCCATCCCGTGTCTCTTCCCGAAAAAAAAAGATCAAAACTGAATTTTGGTCCCGTGTCCAGTCCCGTCCCGAAAGTCGTCCCGTCCCGTTAAGAGTTGGGACGAGACCGGGACAAGATCGGGACATCCTGCCGTCCCAATAAATGGAATAATATCAAAAAAAGATCTAAACAATAATGTTCATTAAAATTTTAAATCATATAATTTATTAAGTTTAAAATCAAAACAACACAAGCACATAAATAACAATAATTTAAAATCAGTTATTGAATTATATTAATCACAACTACATATTATAATAACAAATACAAGTGATCTTTATGCTATAAGATTAGCAACAACAGGCAAGTCAAACACAACATCAAATTATTGTTCTTCTACTTTAGTGAAGATGTATTAAGCTAATTACTCTTCTAAAAATAAGCAAGAAATATATTATAAATAAAATTTATTAAATAGATAGATATAAGAATAAATTATATTAATATAATTAATATATTATAAAGAAAGATATCACCATGTTTACTCCATGCCATTAAAATTATCAATATAAAAAAATTTTATTTTTAAATAAGAATTGCAAGTATTAAAATTATAATTGATATAAGTATAAATTATATTAATATAATTAATATATTTAAAATAAAAAATAATATATATAATATTCGGGACAGGACGGGACGTCCCGATAGTAATCCCATGTCCCATCCCGTCCTGAATCCCTTTCCTATCTTGTCCCGTAAAGTCCCATCCCGATTATTTTCGGGCCGGGACAAGACCCGTTTTGATATGATCGGGACGATATCGGGCCAGTCGGGACGGGTCCAGATTGAACACCCCTATCCAAAAATATGAATTTTTAGTTAATTGGTGATTTTATATTCAATGGTTTTCAATTGATAAATATTGTTGTTCTTATTTATTTATTTCATCATTTTTAGTTGTCAAGATCTAATGTTAAGGTTGCTTTGTCATTATAAATTTAAAGTTTATTGATGTTAAAGTTATATAGAATTTTTATTCCAAGTTTACAAAATTTACTTACATTAAATTGTCTTTCTTTAATTTATATAAAAATATTGTAGCTATTAATTTTGATTTTGAAAAACGTTATGGTTGGGATGTTATTCATTAGAAAGTTATTTTGGTCTCAGATAGCGTAGCTAAGGCTATACATCATGTTGACCACTGAAGGACTTCTTTTACTAAATTACGTGTAGATTTGTTTTGAAAATATCTTCTATTGATGCAAATATAAAATTTATGTATCATACTATAAAAAATATAATTACGTTCTCTACATAGATTATATTTAGGGTCCTTATGTGTTATATACTTTGTCTATTGGCTGGAAGGAGCAAAACTCCTGGATATGATTTTTTTGATTGAATGTTTTGTTGTAAAATTTTCGAGATGGTCCTATTTATAATGGAAGTTTTGCTAAAATTTCTACAAGAATAGGGAAGCTTCTATGAAAATGATCACGCATGTTATAATTTAATATAAACATAATTATGTTTTAGTAATAGGAAGAATTCTTTTTAGGGCTTAAGGGATGTGTGATATGGTTCACATTCCGTGCCGGTCACTCTCATTTTTCAAGACGTGACAACCATAGTCTACGTGACGCACTTAAGGCCAGACTCTAACCTAAATACAAAGTTCAAATTTTTATCAAATTAAGATTTGTCTAAAATAATTCTTTCACTTCAGTTTAGCAATAAAACTCCTTAATAGAAACCTTGAGATACAAGTTTAGCTATACCATCTGAGACCAAAAATAAATTTTTGGTGAATAATATCCCAACAATAAATAATTAAATGTGTATAAAAAGAAAGTTTAACATAATCATGTGTACTAGAAATAACAATTTTCTCAAACAATTATTTGATAAATTTCACCACAAAAGGACTTTATATAACTCTAAATAAATGCTTGATTCATTAAAGTATCATGTCAAACATCATTATCATGTAATTTCAATGAAGCAAATAATTGCATAAAATAATTATAAAAATATGTCATTAATCAAAACCAATGAAAAATAGATCCATCAAATAATTAAAAACTCATAATTATAGGGACTTATCAGAACAAGTAACAGATGCAGACACACAATTTACGAGAGTAAATAACCAAACGTATCTTATGTCATGAAAACAAATGTAGACACACAGTCCTCGAAGATAAATAACCAAATGCAGCCTAAGTTATAAAACAAATATGGACACACAGTCCACAAGGGTAATGCTAACCAAACACGGCTCAAAGCCACGAAATCAAACGCAGGTATGAAATCCATGGATAATAAATGTGAGTGTGATGCTCATGAAAGTCGAATTAGCTAGTCATAACCATGGCTATGGCGCATCAAGGGCTAACGAAATTGCTGTTGGCAACCAATACTCTGTAATAAGTCCCTTTTAAATCCGATTTCAAACATGTGAGAAAACTATCAGTAATAAATAAAGTTTTCATTTTTAGAGTTGAACTCGCATGAATCATTCTTTGTATCAATCTAATATTTGATAAAATGAAATCTCATAATTAAAATCTAAACTTGTAGTTATTAATTAATTAAAATTTCAAAATTGATAAAGATAGTTTCACAAAATAAAGAGGTTCAATAAAAAAACTATTCAATAAACACGTCATCGTTATTAAAACAATTTTCATAAAGAAAATGTACTCTCTTAGTAAAAGAAATTTTTATTGAAAAATCAATTGGGACGCTATCCACTTACCTAAAACATTTTCAAACAAATAATTTGCTCCTAATTAACCCCTTTTGTGATATGGTCTGCATCTTATTTCACTATCCACCTTATTTTTATTCACTTTATAAAGGAAGCAATAAAAATAAAGAGCATAGATAGAATTAAGATGATAAAGAACTTTTTTCAGGTAATTAATACTTTACTTTTGACATGTTATATTCTCACTTAAAGTTTGATTATTATTCTATCATATCTAGTCACACATTCCACTCTTTAGACTTATTTCTTCTGCTATTTAATATAGTATATACCATCTCTCTTGTACATTGAAAAAATTCCCATTAGTTCAAATTGAAAAGTTATATATGTTTTTTATTTGTTATGAAACCTAAAAATTCAAATTGGTTTTTGGAAAACAAATGTAGATGCAATTGGAGAATATGCGCACATCTGAGCTTAGTTCAAGTTCAAATGACCTATGTAAGGTAGTGAACTTACTACAAACCACAATCGCAACTGCTAGCTCTACCTTTCTTGAGAGACTTTTGAAAGCAGGTTCATATAGTATATGAGGATTACATGTTTTTTTTATATGTATATCACATTATAAATGACTTGCTGGTTTATTCTTTGTCCTTTTAGTTGTAACAAATTTTCTCTCAACTTATGCAATAGATATTTTGAATGCTGCACATGCAATATTTGAAAGTCAACCAGTAAGTCTACAATATTACCTCTTTCATTTGTTTCTTTCACTTGTTCCTTTCACAATATGGGTATCTCTTTTGTCTGTAGCATCTTGTGGTTGATATGTTTCATTTTATCTGTCTTATTATAATATTATTACTATAATATTACCTCTTTCATTTTATTTTTTTCATTGGTTCCTTTACAAATATGGCTATTTGTCCTACCTTAGCATCTTGTCGTGTGTATGTTCGTCTGATCAGACCTATCAAAATTTTTTGAGTCACCATTTAATTTTGATTTTTCAAGCATATTTTTATTTTGCACAATGAATCATCTCTAAATAATATATAAAGAAATATGTCTTCTCTCACTACTGCACCTTTCAATATTTCTTCCCTTGCAAATTACAAACCTTCCAATTTTGTTGTGATAAGCCCTGTGCTTTCATGGTGTGCAAGAAATTAAAGAAAGTATAGGTAATATGTCTTCTTGAACTTGAACAATTATTTTTGTATATTTTATTTGCCATCATGATAAACACTAATATAACTTTTAAGCCTTCAATTTTATAGATCTGGTGGTCTTAAATATTTGTAATCAAATTATATTTGTAATCATATCGTTTAAAAGAAAGAAGCTAATTTACATCATAAATGCTTCGAGAGAGATCTTGGGTAATGAAGACAGAAAGAAGATAAACAAGTACAATTACCGAGTCACGAGATGTTGTATGATTGGCCATATACACTCGATCCATGTCAGTTTCTTGCCACTACTTTCTTCTTTTGTGCTTTTCATTATGCTAAAAGAAAAAAAAAAAACAAGATGAAAAACAATAATTATTTCCAAAATGAAGCAGAGAAAAATGAAGACAGTTTTTTTTTTTTTTTTGGAGTAGGGTGGGGGAACTACATATAATCTAATCAAAATGGGTATAAATGCCAAGTTTAGCACAGATCAGAGTTCGATGAGAATTGAAACGGAAGAGAAGTCTATGAAAGTCGCCAGAGAAGAAGAAAATAATGGACGAACCAAACATACCATCTGGGTTCCGCCATCTCTCTGCCGCTGGATCTGTGACTGCTTTCCTCTCCCCCTCAGTCTTTCTCACTCTCCTCCGATCCCTCTCTCTTTTGTACCCAAAATATCTTCAACTCTTTCTAAAATCTTATTATTCGTTTCTCCCAATCCCTTCCTTCCTTTGCTATTTATTCGGCCAGGCATAGTCATTTGAATTGGTAAAAGGTCATTGGATTTTGCAATGACTAAAACAAAATAGTAAATTACAATTTCTCCTCTACAAAATTCTTAGTCAGTGAAATCCAACAACTAAATGTCATTAATTACTTTGATTTAAATAATAATTATATTTGTTTTTTCTTTGAAATGTCTACTTTTCAATCTAGATGTAGAACCCCATGTTAATTTTGTCTCATTCCTTTGAGATAAATCATAGGCCTTAATGCTCTATAGTGCAAGATATGTTAAATATTAAATATAGGGTATGTCAGTTCTAATCCATCGTAAGGAAGAAAAAGTAGTCGGTAATCCAAATTGTTGGTTTTATTTTACGGTAACTTGCGTCCAATTCGGATTGAATTTAGCTCAAGTGGACTAAATTAGTCAGTAGTACCATATTAGTACTATACTCCTATATTTTATTAGTGGTAGCTTAGTTAATTTTAGACCTAAGCAGTATATATATATTGGTTATCAACGAGACCTGAGTTAAGCATTAATATGTCCTGTCATGTCCAGTGATACATACACGTGTGTATATATATATATATATATATATGAAATTTTATTTTATTAGTTGGTTTTACAAACATTTTGTAATGAGATCCATAAAAGGCATATAAAGGTAATTTTTTTAATTATTTCCTTGGTCATGTGGGCTGGCTTTGAGGAATATTTAACTTCAACTGCTTAAAATTCACGTCGAAAGGCATAAACAGTTCGGTGGATTAAATCATGTCTTAAATTATGTTTTGTGCTAATGAAGATACAAGTATAATGTTTACCTATGAGCTGAAAGTACTAAGGGACATTCTGTTGATAAAAAAAAAGCTCGATCATCCTATATCATGCATTCATGCCTTTCTTTTTAAATAATTAAATTATATGTTATATTAAATTTATTATTCATTTATTCAACTATGACATACTTTATAATAATAAATATAGATTTCTCCGTTATTAAAATTATAATTGTCTTATCTCTTTCTTTATAATATTTACAAGTCCAGATAAAGAATCTAGTAGCAGACAAGGAAAAGAGCCAAGCTAAAAGTTTGCTTGTGGATTGTAAAGAACTGCAACCCCTGTCTTCTAAACAAGTAAATTGTAATATATTTAAAATTAAAATGCCAGTAGGATGTGATTATGTGTGTGTATTGTGTGCTATAATGTTGGTTCCGATTACTATGCTAATTCAATTTTCAATAACATTTTTCATCGAGGTAGATTGATGATTTAAACACAAAATAAAGAAAAAAAAATGCTTTAATTGCTTATATGAAAAAACAGCTGTAATTCTTTAATTATTCAAGTATAATTGGATGATTATATTCCATGTTATATCATATAATCACACAATCCATACCATAATCTAATAATAATTTAAAAAATTTTCAATTTAAAAAATAAATAATGAGTGACATGAATATGTGAAACCAAATTAATAAACTGAACTTGATAATTACCTGTTTCCTAATAAATAGCTAAAACATAACAAATAGATTTGGAATGAATATTTTAGGACCTACCAATTATTTTAGTTTTCCAAACTTTTTTTCATGACTAAATATGGAACAACAAAATACGACTGAGTTAGAAACATTATGATGGAGATGAGCGTAGAAAAGAGTGATCAAGAGGGGAAAAAAAACTGATCAACCATAAAAGAAAAAAATAAATATATAAGAAGAGATGGAGTAATAAAGGAAAAAAGAAAATAAATTGGCTTACTATTAAAAAAAAGAATAGTGCATTAAAAGATAAACTAGAAAATAAAAATGAGAATAATATCAACATGTAAAACCAAATTAATAAACTGAATAAGATAATTAACCGTTTCCCAATAAACAATGCAAAGGAATCAATAATTACATACACAAAAAGATGAAAAAAAATAAATAACTCCCCAAACCTTTTTTGTCTAAATATGGAACAATTAAAATAACACTAAGAGTTAGAAATATTATGATGAAAAGATATATACTACATAAGAAGATTGGTTAACTATAGGGGGAAAAAAGAATTTACCACAAAGCTAAACCATAACTAATTGATGTGGAATGAATATTTTAGGACCTACCAATTAAATTTTGTTTGATATTATAGATCAAAATTAATAAAAATAACTGAGCAATAATCATATGGAATGATAAAAAATGATGAATTAGAAAAAGAATGAAAATAAATAAACTACTCAAAAGAATCGATAATTGCATACATAAAAAGATGAAAACAAAATAAACTACCAAAAAAAGACTAAAAGTTAAAAACATGATGATGAAGAGATGATCAAGGAAGTGGTCAAGAATAAAAAAATTGATCACCAATAAAAGAAAAAATAACACATTAGAAGAGATGGAGTAATAAAATAAAATAAAAATAAATTGGTTGAATATAGGGGAAAAAAAGAAGTTACCCGTTTCCAAATGTAAAACTTATTAGACGAGATGAAGGAGTAATAAAATAAAAAATTGATTAACTATAGGAAGAAAAAAGAAGTTACCCGTTGTTACCCATTTCCAAATGTAAAGCTAAAACATAAATAATTGATGTGGAATGAATATTTTAAAACTACCAATTATTTTAGTTTTGTTTAAGAAAAATTAAAAAAAATAATCCAGCCATAATCATAAAAAATAGGGATGAGAAAACAAAAATGATCAATTCAAAAAAGAGAAAATAAATAAACGGTGCAAAAGAATCGATAATTACATTCATAAAAAAGATGAAAATAAAATAAATAACTCCCCAGTCTAAATATGGAACTACCAAAACAAAACTAAAAGTTTGAAACATTATGATAAAGAGATGAATAGAGAAGGGAGTGGTCAAGAAAAAAAAAAGTAAATATTAAAACACATTAATTTGTTCAAAGAACTATTATAAAACAAATAAATGAAGAGAAAAATTAGTAGAAATAGAGTTATTACTAAGAAGAATACATATCAAACAAATTCACATTGATTAAGTTATAAACAAGCAAATTAATCAATAAAACAATCAATAATTACATAAGCAAAAACATGAGAACAAAATAAATATTCTTCAAAACATTTTCATGTACATAAAACGTCTAAAAGAAACCTAAGAGTTAGAAATATTATATAACGAAGAGATGAGTTGAAAACGAGGAATAAATAACAAGACTAAATTCGTTAACTTGCAAAGAAAAATTAAACAAACAGTGCTTAAAAAATTTAAGCAAATAATCAATAATGTTACATAAATGAATTAAACAAGACAATTGACTACAACCATATCATAAAAAAAACTAATTCGGTAAAATAATGATAAACTTGGCATTGCCCTGAATGTCTCATACTAAGGAAGAAGATAAGGAAGTCAAAAGACCCAACAGGCAAAGAATAAGGGTAGAGAAAACAATGACAATGCAAATGCAATCGGATGAATACAGGACTTGAAAGCAAAATTAAATGCTAATGAAGCAGGGATTCAGCTCCCCCACACTTGAACAACACTATAAATACAAGCAGCTTTAGCAAATTGAAACATCCCCAATTTTTTTTAAAAAAATTCAGATTTAATTAAAAATTAAAATAAATCAAATTAAGTTAATTAATTAAATTAAAGGTAATTTAGTAATTTGGAATCCAGCATATGAAGTGTGAGGTTGAGTGCCTACGCCAAAATAGCCATCATATGGAGAGTAAGTTGGGCTGGCTCTAGGAGGAAGTTAACTTCAATTGCTCAGGATTCACGTTGAAGGGACACAAGCAATTTGATGGATTAGATCATGCCTTGGTTTATATTTTGTGCCTATTAAGGTACAACTAGTCATAAAGTTTGCTTGTGAGCTAAAGAGTGCCAGGAGGCGTTCTATTAGTCAGGAAAAACTATATCGGCCTATCTCATACATTCAAGCATTTTAATTGATTAATTATATGTTGTTTTAAATCTATTATTTATTTACTTGATTATGGCTCTCTTTATAATAAGGAATATCAATTTCTCTATTACTGAAATTATGGTTGTCTCACCCCTTTCTTTACAATATTTACAGATCCAGGTGAAGGATCCAGTGGTGAACGGGAAAAGGAGTAGAGCTAAGGGTTGTTTGTGGATTGTAAAAACTGCAACCCTTCTTTTTGAAAAAATATATTATAATGTATTTAGGATTAAGGTATCAGAAGGATGTGATTATATATATGCGTGTGAATATGTGTGGATTGTATGTCTTTGCATGAATTTTTACTGCTTGTAGGCTTGTGGTTCATAAACTTAGTTGTGGTGTGTGGTTTTGATGGATTCATTTGGTAGACTAAATTTCCACTATAAGTAAATGTTTGTTTCGCTATTGTATAGATTGTTTGATGATTTAAATGGTTTGTTTCTTAAATTGGTTTTAGGATCAATTCCTTAACCATACTTAATTTTTTTAGTTGTGGTGTGTTTTTGTTAACACTCGAAGCAAGTGTTACATGTGGTATCAGTTGGCATCCTAATGAGTAGTAGCTGTGATCCAAATCTCATGCATGTTGAGAAGGGGAGGATTAGGGGTATGAAGAAGAAATAGACTGATGCTCGGGTGTGGTGGGTGGGTTATATTTTTCATCATTACAAACAATAATAGGATTCATATGCAAATTTCTATCATCTATAGAAACAACAAGATTTATATCCAAAGGAATTACCAAGAGTTTGCCTCGCCATCTATGCCACATCATGGTACTCATATAGATTGTTCAAGTGTGTCACAGGATAACAGATCAAGAATCGTTCAAGAGAAGTGAAATTGATTCATGTGCCTTAAAGTTATTAGATATGACTAGACCAAACAATGAGCAAATTTAGCAGTTAACACCACATCCAAAATGAGCACTATAATTCTTTAATGTAATCAAAGCTGCAATGAATTTTAGATAATCGATAAATAAGTTAGATTTAAAAGAAAACATAGAAAGAAAAGGAACTAAATCTA